AACTCCTGCTGAAGGGAATATTTAGTGTCGCTTCTTTGCAGCTGGGAGAGAAATGTTCGGTTTAGAATGCCAGGTGGTTACCTAAGGCCAGAGGCGGCAAATGGCTTTCTTGGAAGAAGTGTTTCTGTATACAGCAGGGTTGAAGGACGACTTGCTTCCATTAATGACTTTGGCAGTAGCGTGTGTTCACGGAATCAAAGAGTCGGAAGGAGCCAGAGAGGCCATCTAGTCCAACCCCCTGCTCAGTGCAGGATCAGCCTAAAGCAGTGATGGCGAACCTTTGAGAGACCGAGTGTCCAAACTGCGACCCAAAACCCACTTACTGATCGCAAAGTGCCAACACGGCCATTTAATCTGAATACTGAGGTTATACTTTAGAAAAAACAACTCATACATTAACTTCAGATGATCCAAACAAAGTAAGGAAAGCAATCCCAAATGCTTTCATTGACTTAAAATTATTTGGCAGAGAATTCGACACTGTAATGATGGTCTGGGCCTGGCTGGGGCGATGGCACGTGTGCCCACAGAGAGGGCTCTGAGTGCCACCTCTGGCACCCGTGCCATAGGTTCCTGGCCAATGTCCGTCCAGCTGCTGCTGCTTGAAGACTGCCAGTAAGGGGGAGCTCACCAACTCCCTGGGCAGCCGATTCTACTGCTGAACTACTCTTCCTGTAAAAAAAAATCTCCTAATATCCAGCCAGTACCTTTCTGCCTGTAATTTAAACCCATTATTGCATGTCCCATCCTGTACTGCCAACAGGAACAGCTCCCTGCCCTCTTCTAAGTGACAGCCCTTCAAAGAGTTCAAGAGAGCAATCCTGTCCTCCTTCAACCTCCTCTTCTCCAGTTTGGAGCCAATTAGGTGTCGTGGTTAAGTGCGCAGACTCTAATCTGGGAGAACCGGGTTTGATTCCCCACTCCTCCACTTGCAGCTGCTGGATGACCTTGGGCAAGCCGTAGCTCTGATCAGAGCTGTCCTTGAAAAAGAGCAGTGTCTGTCAGAGCTCTCGCAGCCCCGCCTACCTCACTGGGTGTCTGTTGCGGGGAGGGGAAGGGAAAGGAGTTTGTAAGCCGCTCTGAGACTCCCATTGAAGGACGGGGTGTAAATCCAATCTCTCCTTCTTCAGACTGAACATTCTCACGTCTTTCAGCCTTTCCTTGTTGGGCTCCAGGCCCCTGATCATCCTCGTTGGGCTCCAGGCCCCTGATCATCCTCGTTGCTCTCCTCTGCACCTGCTCCATTCTGTCCACAACCTTTTCGAAGCCCCCAGAAGTGACGGAGGGGCCCATCCACACAGTAGGAGAGAGGAGAGGAACCTGACGGCCTTGTCTTGTCTTTCCAGGTGAGAGGCTACGATTTCAAGGCGGACATCTGGAGTTTCGGAATCACGGCGATCGAACTCGCTACGGGGGCAGCGCCTTACCACAAATACCCACCCATGAAGGTGAGTTTCTGGCTTGCCAGTCCACACAGGTAAGCCGCCGGCAGGGAAACCTCTCCACATCTCTGTCAACTGGTCTTCAAAGAGGCTGCCTCCGAAGGAAGAGCAGTGGCCCTTTCTTACGCGCCCAGGGAAATGCTGATCACCACTTTTGGGTCAGGAACAGTGTTCCCTCTAAGCTGAGTCAGTGTGAGCTAGCCCAGAGTTTTTTTTAGCCTCCGGCGCACATGTTTTTGTCTTAGCTCAGGAAGGGATGGCTCCAGAGCAAACTGATTTATGCTGTAGCCCAATCGCTCACTCACTGCTTTAATGCCAGTAGCTCACAAAGTAGAGGGAGCATTGGTCAGGAAGCAGTTTTTCTCCAGGCCAGTTTGGCCGGAGGTCCTGGAGGCTTTTTGTCATCTCCTGGACGTGGAACAGCGGTCACTGGGGGTGTGTTTGGGGGAAGGTATTTGTGAATTCCCTGCGTTGTGCAGGGGGTTGGACTAGATGACCCCGGAGGTCCCTTCCGACTCTGTGATTCTGTGATTCTACAGTTGGGGGAGGGGGTTCCCATTTTCCGCACAAGCGTAAGCCACACTCAGGAGGTCTGCAGCCAGACGACAAAACTCTGTTACCAGTATTTGAAGCTGGCACTCTGCATACATTAAAGTGGTGGTTTTCAGACTCTGTTTCAGGGAAGGCCGGGGGGGGGGGGGCCCTCCGTGAGGCAGTCGGAGGCCGTCGGCCAGATTCTCTGATCTCTTCTGATCTTCCCTTGCAAATGTTTGTCTTCGAAGCAAAAGCTGCGTTGTTGTTTCTGTGGCCCTTCCCGTAGTAGCCTTTTGCCTTGATTGCCTTGGGTGCTCAGTTTTAGGTTCTTTTATCATTCAGCTCACTTTCTCCTCTAGCCTGTTTCATAAAAGCACCTGGGTTGGCTCCCACGCACCCATTCCCCTAGCGGAAGGATTAATTCCCTGATGCAAACGTCTTGCATTGGGGGAAGATTCAATCCAGTGTAGGAAACTGCTGCTTAGAGGACTGGATCGGAGGAACTAAAGACACTTTCTCTGTCTTTTCTTCCTACATCTGAAAATCTTCCTTAATCCTTGACACCGTTCTCCTTCTTTGGGAACTGTCTAAAAATACGTTTTTGCTCGCTTTTTCTTCATTTGGCCTCTACAGACCTCGCGTTTAAAAGCCCGGTTCAAAACGTACAGTGCTTTTCAACCCCACGCGGCGTGTGCGGCATTATCTTGTAACCTGCTTTGGGCCAGGACTTGTTTAGGTGTTACGCAAAATTGCAAATGAACGAACTGCTCCAGTGCTTGTTATCTCAATGAATGCCAGATGCCTGGCCTGAACAATGGAGGGGGGGGGAAGACCCTTGCCTTCGTGCCCTCTTTGTGTCCTTCCCAGAGGAACCCGGCCGCCTTCTATAGGAAACAGGATGCCGAGCTAGATAGACCTTTGGTCGGATCCAGCAGGGCTGCGTGTGTGTTCCTTCCCTTAATCTCCAGCCCTTTCCCATAGCCCCGTCTTGCCTCTCCAGCAAAAGCCTTCTAGCCAATGTGGGGAGGGTCGTCTACACATCACTCTGTTTTCCAATAGATCCCCCTTGTACTTTCTTTTGCCCACATTCACTGCACCCCCTTCCGTTCACTTTTTCTGCATTCTGTGGAGGCGTTAACTATGGAGGCCACTTGCATTTCCCTGAGCTCCCAGGAGGAAGGAGGAGATAAGTAAATTTATTTATTTGCCTTCTTGTTCCTGAAAGCTGCACAGAACCTCCTGCGGTATCCATCAGCCACCTCTGCCGTTGTAGTTGTGTTGTTGAATGGGCAGGTAATTGAGGGGAAACCCAGGTGGCTTTCAAACTTGTGTGAGTTGATTTAAGTGAGAAGTCAAAAGTGAGAAGTCAAAAGTTAGAGTCTCCATCATTAAGATGGGTGGCTGTGTTAGTCCGTCTGTAGCAGTAGAAAAGAGTCAGAGTGCAGTAGCACCTTAAAAACTAACAAAATGTAAGTCTAACCTTAAAGACTAACAAAATGTTAGACTAACGTAGGCCCCGGGCACATGGGCCGGATATCGCGCGCGGGGGAGGCGTGGCTAATTGCCCCGGCGTAGTTTGATCCGCGATTACGCAATCAGACGCGCCGGCAGCACACCACGGGTCCTTCCCTCGGTGCCAGCGGGTAAACGAGGGACCGGAGGGGAATGCCGTGCGCTGGCACGATCACACCACGGGCGTCTGGAGGCAGCCCGTGGCAAACGTTTACTAGTACCTTGGAGGTACTAGTTTTTAAATCCGCATTGTCAGCGGTAAGCCACGGGTGCGCTCCACTTCCCAGATGTTGGTGTGTGATCGCGCCCGGATAATCCGCCCATCTTCTGTGCCTCTCCCGCGGCAACTTTGCCGTGTGACCGGGGCCCCAGACTAACAAAATGTTAGTCTTTAAGACTAACGGAATGTTAGACTAACAAACTTTAAATTAGTCTAACCTTAAAGACTAACAAAATGTTAGACTAACAAAATGTTAGTCTTTAAGGCGCTACTGGACTCTTGCTCTTTGGTATCTGAAGAAGTGAGCAATGGCTCATGAAAGCTCATCCCCTGCCACAAATTTTGTGAGTCTTTAAGGTGCTCCTGGACTCTGGCTCTTTTCTGCTTCTCAATCATTAGTCTCCCCAGACTCTCGGGGCTCTGGTGTCATTCAGAACAACGGCCCTCGATGCTTACTTTAGTTTAAAAAACCAGCCTTCTTGGTCCGCCTGACTAACGCAATTCTTCCAGGTCTTAATGCTGACGCTACAAAATGACCCCCCCTCGCTCGAGACGGGGGTGCAGGATAAGGAGATGCTGAAGAAGTACGGGAAGTCGTTCCGGAAGATGATTTCGTTGTGCCTGCAGAAAGACCCGGAGAAAAGGTAGCGAAAGTGGAGCGGAGCCGGACAGCCCAGCTCGGTCCCGGGAGGGACCCGGGTTGCTTTACGAAACCTGTGTGGGGAGGAGCAGGGAAATGATCACCGTCTGCAGCTCAGCTGGTTGTACGGTTATACACAGGGTGTAAGGCAGCGTTAGCACTGCAAGACATATAACATTGGGGGGAGTGGCCACGGACAGATGCGACTTCGTTGAGACCGTGCAGGGCTGTTTTTGTAGCAGGAACTCCTTTGCATATTAGGCCACACACCCCTAATGTAGCCAATCCTCCAAGAGCTTACAGTAGCCCCTGTAAGAAGAGCTCTGTAAGCTCTTGGAGGATTGGCTACATTAGGGGTGTGTGGCCTAATATGCAAAGGAGTTCCTGCTAC